TTATAGCTACTTTTATTCAGTTCTTGGGCATTACGTATATTTTCAGTAAGAGTTTTTACAGTTTGTTCCTTTGTTTGTGGTTCCCTTAATCTCTTGGGGCTGACTACAGCCCCAAAATTTCCTTAATAAATCCATTCCCAATATGAACTGGTCGGAGATCTCTGCAAATAATACTCTGTTTTACTGTGGTCTGGCCAATGGATACTGACACATTAGCCTCTACAACTGACTGTTGTATTATTTTCTTGCAATTTACGGCGAATGTGACCTACGTCGCCATGATTCGAACATCTGGTTTCACGTCTCGTCGAACATCATGTTACGATCTACTTATCGTACCATTTCTTATAGACGTTCATCGTTTGGGCCAGAGAACTACGAACGCAGAGAAGCGACACTCCTTTGATCTTGCGTGGGCAAGCCGCCAACGAGTGAAAATGACAGGAAAGCACCTTATTTTTTAATAGTCAGTGGGCATATTACACAATATAAATTCTTAAATAAAATTGAGCAATTATGTTGACTTTCAATAAATATGAAATATTGCACTGAAAAAATAATTACATGCAGGGCCGTCTTTTGTTGACATTCTAAATGGTGTAATTATTTTTGATTTACAAAAGGTTGCAAATACATCGAACAACGCAAAGTAATGGTGAAAATCGTACTGATGGAACCATAGATGAAAATACTTTTTTGTTTATTCTGATGTTGACGTTGATAATACAATAATACACCGATTCTTTTTGGCTTGTGTTGATACAAGATATAATTTGTTCGTCGTGGAATTTCCTAATAAATTATCTTTATCCTAATAACCTAAAAAATAAACAAAAAAGTATTACGAATCATTACAAGAGAGCATTGGAAGATAAAACGAATTTATATTATTGTCATCACACATTATTCGGATATACATAGTAAATCCAGACTTTCAGTTTAAACTAATATTTGGATACAATTTATTTTGTTTACAATAGATTCAGAGTTAATACATACGATTTTTAGTTGATTGGTATTGCCTTTAAAATTATTTGTAGTATCTAGTTTGCCTAAGCCGGATTTGTAACAATTATTTCTGGTTTTGTTGTTAACTGCGGTTAGTACAATTCTTATACTTGAAGTCAAAACGACGAACCATTGAACCTTCAGGCCAGATACTGGGATTGAGAACTTCATTTTTATAATCCAATGGATATGAAACTTTAAAGTTTGCTTGGTACTCCGTAACCTTTAACTTCTTGAAGTAAAAAATGTATATTTGGAGCATTTACCTTTAAATTATTGGTCAAATCTTCCGTTGTCTGTTGTGGAATTATACAACGGTGTAAATAAATAATGATTGATTGGAGTAAGATTTATGTCTGTTTACTCTTAATATTGCTATGGGCATATGTGCTTGGTTGTAAATATAGTAATTGTCATCCAGTTCTAGTCTGTTAAAATGTAACTAACTTTCGCAATAAAATAATTACTAAAATACTAGATAGTTGTGTCTGAGATTAGCGAATCGACTATACATACACTACATACATTCAGTATCATTGTATATCCAAGATGGACGCCGCTACACAATAGCGGATTACTTATTTTTTCACAACTACTTCAATATGGGTATCAAATGAAAGGGTTTGACTAGTAGAAAAGAGTTTTTTGTATTTATAAATATTACTTCATTACTTATAACTATAAGAGTATTAGTATATTCTAAGTGTATTGTAAGTAATGAAGTATTTAACTTTTGTCAATATCTCATCTTAATAAATTTACAGTTTTCTCCTTTCTCTCTTAAGTCTCAAAATTGTCACTAAATATTGAGATATACAATAAATAAAGTTTTAATATTTTTTATTTGTAATTCCCATTTAAATATGTATTTCCTAAATATGTTGTGTACTCCGATCCATATATTTGATCTTTGTTATTTATATTTAACGAATTAAACATTGACAGACAACTTTTGTATATAGCAAAAAGTAGATGAGCATTTAGTTTTTTCATAATTTAATGTAAGTTTGTTTGGTGAAAAAGACAGCAAATATTTGAAGTTATGTTAATGTAAGTTTGTTTATTTGCAATCATGTTTTTATTTTGAATTGTTCTGTTATAATTTTAAGATTTTCCCAATTTTCGATCTAATTATGTTTACAACAATTTTTAGTTTGAGCATTTTAGGAATTTCTTTGTTTCGTTTAAATCAAATATTCTCGTGTATAAAACCCTCTATATATTTTTATTTCCTAAAAATACTATATTCGTATTGTTGTCTGCGAGCGCTTTCACACCAGTAGGCCAACATCTGTGTTGATTTTTTGACCTGAGCCTTCGGAGACAATAAATTTAATGTGTGTTCGTTCGTAGTTCTCTGGTTTTTATTCTGAACTATCCCTTGGCAAACCAAAATTTATTTTTTTATTGCTTCACTTAACGAGAGCTCGGGCGGACACGTCGGTGTCGGCTTACTCAAAGTCAAATTAATACTATTATGTAATAACTAATAATAATTACAAAGCAATAGTAATTACCTGTTATTATTCTTAGGAAATCTAAATAAACTTATTCTTTTTCCTGCCACAGATGAACATCCGCGAAACGCACAACAATAACCAGAAGACATTTTAAATACTTATAAATTAAACTTTTAACTATAAACTATAACTATAAAACTTATATATTTTAACTATAACTATAAACTATAACTATAAACTTTTAACTACTAAATAATTAGATAAATGGTCAAATGCACTTGTATAGTCGAGAGTTTACCACAGATGCCTACGGACTATCGTAAGCAACTTAAAATTGAAGAAAACGCACGTGTTTTTGACAGTAAAGCACCTTATTTGGGTCATGCGTATACAGAAAAGGTACACGAATTCCGGGCCTCGTGTCGCTTCTCTGCGTTCGTAGTTCTCTGGCCCCTGGTTTGGGCACAGAATAATAAACAAACAGAAGGGCCACTCTCAGATGCCGCCTTTGAAGTTTTTCAGCACGCGCGCCATGTTTTAGGACACAGACATATGATTTGTGTGGTTATGTAATTGTTTATATTTATGTTTAATTATATTATATTTATGTTATTATATTTAACAATGTTAATATAATTGTATAGTATGTCTATGATTGCCGTAAGTCAAATAAACCTGGTTAATTTTTCCATGCACACCACATAAACAACACTAATTTCTTTAAAATCCTCCTAAAACATGGCAGAACGTCTGCGCGGAGGAGATGCGCGTACTTAATTTTCCGTGGAGAGTGGGTATTCTGTTTGTTTATTATTCTGTGGTTTGGGTCGTCGCCTTCTTCAATGGTTCTTACTCGATGGGTTTGTGAAGTTTAACTAGCTGTTTCATGTTCCAAGGCAATAGCGAGCGCTTCATCTAGAACTTTCGGTCTTGATAGTCGTAAAGCTTTCTGTAATTAATTGCCTTTTAACCTATTGACGAAGATATCTACAGCAATTGCTTCCAATATGTCGTCTGGTGCCCCTGGATAAACGAACCGCACTATACGACCAACATTTCACTGCTTCCCACTTTAAACTCTTGCAAATTTTCACTTGCTCGTTGAATTCTACTTCTTAGTTACGCCTTGTAGACTTGTTGTAGATGGGCATCTCCGTAACGTTTGTCTAGTCGAAAGAAGAAGGTCTGGTAACATTTTTCTTGACCCTTAGGAATCGATCTCAGGATATTCGCAACATTACCTTGTAATGCAGCAGTCAAGGAAACAGCTTTTTCTTGTTCTGTCCAATAATTGGCTATAGCACTAACTTCAAATTATCTAAGGTATATGGTCCAAGAGGACTTGCAAATGGTGGCAATTTGAATCTCATATGATGTATCGTTTTCGTCGTTTGGTGATTCTTCTTTTACTACTGGATCTAAGGCTACTGTATAAACTGATTGTAGCACTTTTGTGTTAGTTATCATGATCTCTAAGTGTTTGATCTTATTTTCTACGTCTTCTATCTTTGCGTTTACATTTTTCTGTATCTTATCGAATGTTCTTGAGACTTCTTCAAATTTTTCATTGTTTTGATTACATACTTCTTTAATTATTTGAGAAGTCTTGTCGAATCTTTCAGCAACATTTTCGAGTTTCTCGTCATTTTTGTCTAGCTGCTTCTTTAATAATTTGAGACGTTCCATCGAATCCTTTGGAAACGTTCTCGAATTTATCATCATTTTTTTTAGAAGATTCCTCAATCATTTGCAAGACGTTTTCAAATTTACTATCATTTTTTTTGAAGTTTCTTCAATAATTTGGGACGTTTCATTGAATCTTTTGGAAACATTCTAAAATTTTCCATTAATTATTTAAGTTAAAACGGCTTCTTCTGCTGACTGAAACTGGAATGTCTCTGGGTCATCTCCATTCTTGTTAATATATGTATATATATATATATATATATATATATATAAATATATATATATTTATATATATATATATATATATATATAATATATATATATATATATCAAAAGTATTATTCTGGAATCATCTAAAATAGTCCCACCTCTAATTCGTTGTTTATCAAGTGGTTTTCTTTTCTACAGCGCTCGATATATGCCCGGAAAGTTCTCGGTACTTCGAGATGCAACCGTTATATGGACCACGCTGAATGCATGTTCCTTAACAGTATTTAAGGTCTTGACAACAATTATATATAATTTAAAAATTTCATCTTGTATTATTGATAATAGGCCCTTTATAATATAGTTCGTTGAGATGATGTTGTTAAGGAGGTTTTAGAATTATAAATGTATGTCTGTATATTTAAGTTTATAGTTTATGTCTTAAAAGCGCACATTTAAATTTAAAAGTTATACAACTTTATATATAAAAATATTAATCATTGAGTTTTATTTTCAGTCGGCATCCGGAACAGGCCTGGCTTTCATCATATTCACGGAAGCAATAAATCAGTTTCCTGGTGCTCAATTTTGGTCCGTTCTCTTCTTCCTTATGCTCTTCACCTTGGAATAGACTCACAGTTTGGCACATTGGAAGGTGTCGTTACGTCAGTGGTCGATATGAAATTGTTCCCGAACCTGCCTAAAGAGATTCTAACCGGAAGCCTGTGTACTCTATGCTGCCTAATATCTATGGCGTTTGCTCATGGTGCTGGAAGCTATGTCTTCGTACTCTTTGATAACTTTTGCGGGAATTACCCGCTGCTCATTATTGCATTTTTTGAATGTATAGGTGTGGCGTATGTTTATGGTTTACGAAGGTAAGGTTTAAAAATCCATTAATATTATTATTAACATAATCTTATATAAAACAAGCTAAAGTGTATAAACAACGGGTTGCGAAATTATCTAAAAATCGAAAAATATAATACTGAAAAGTAAAAATATTCAAAAAAAACACGAATACATAAAAAATTAAAACAATAAACATTATTGGCTGATTTAAATCACTGATAATTTGGCTGTGGTCCATTGAATTATGAATTTTGGCCTTGTTGGCGTGAAGTGATATGGCATATTTTACGGTTAATGCTCCTAGGTCATTATTAATGGTTGCATTGCTCATATACCAAGGGGCGTTAGCTACCATATGCAGTGTTTTTGATTAGAAGCTCTGCAAAAATTTTATGTTTGAAGGTTTGCTACAGTCCCAGAGTTCTACGCCGTAAATCCATATTGGTTTCAGTATGACTTTGTAAATCAGTGTTTTGTTCTCCAATGACAGTTGTGACTTTCTGCCAAGTAACCAACTCATTTGTTTTAATTTTATATTGAGCTGAGTTTTTTTGGCCATAGTGTATTGCTTTCAGGTCAACTTTCGATCCAAATGCAACCGAACATATTTCACATCTCTAGCAGCAATGGGGCATTGTTTAGACTAACTTGTGGTCAAGTACGTCTTCTTGTTGTAAATGTGATTTAAGCTGATTTTTCATTATTGACTTTAATTTTTCATTTCGTTAACCAATTCTCTAATGTATGCAAGTAATTTTGCACCTTTTCAGATGCTATATCTGATGGTATGTTTGTTTAAAACTAAAGCGGCTATATTATCAACAAAAGTCGCCACTGTGACTTTATCTGTAATAGGTATATCAGCAATAAAGATTAGGTCCAGGAAAGGACCAAGTACACTTCCCTGAGGAACTCTTAATTATATTGAGTGATAGGTCGAGAAATCATTATTAATTTTTACTTAGAACGAACAATCATTAATATAGGACTTCTGGCTAAGGTGTTTACCGTTAGGCAGTAAAAATTTTAATTTATATAGCACACAGTTGTGCCAGACTTCAAACTATAGCAGACTATCAAAAGCCTGCTGAATATTGAAAAATACTGTTCGTTTCTTACAAACTTTTCTTGCTTTTATTTACTATTCTACAACACTGTTATATTGTTAAATATTTTTTACGAAAACCAAACTGATGTTCTGGTATTATGTTCTTGAGTGGTACTGTTTCGCTTATTCTATTTAGCAGAGGTCTTTCAAATATCATGGACATCAAAGGTAACAAGCATATTGGACGATAGGAAGAAGGTTCTGTAGACAATTTATCTGGCTTTCCAATCATTATAATATAGGCATATTGCCACTGGATTGAAATATGGCTTAACTGCAGAATTCTATTACAGAATATAGTAATCATGAGAACGTCTTTCCTGGGTAGACGTTTTAGGATTCTCGCATCAATTAAATTGTATCTTAAGGCTTTGTGAGAGTTGGTACTCATTATTATTCGGTCTGTTCAGAGTTAGATTATATATCGAACAATATTTAAATGTACCTTTTAATTTTATTTTATTTGTATATGTCTTAGATTCGCCGACGACATAGAAATGATGACTGGCACCCGTCCTGGTCTATACTGGTTAATATGTTGGAAATACCTCTCTCCGTTGGCGATGCTATCCATATTAGTAGCGAGTTTTATCGAAATTGCAGTAGACGGTACTGGATATGCGGCTTGGGTTGCTGCGAGAGGAGAGACTGAACGACATCCCTGGCCTCTATGGGCTATCTTGTTAATTACCGTGTTGGTGTTGGCTTCCGTGTTATGGATACCTGGTGTTGCTATTGCAAGGTACGATTAAATACAATTAAATTATACACACTGTTCTTATTTATACAACGTGTTTAATTGAAAAAAACCCACCCTCAATTCTTCAGAAATTCATTTTCAAAAACATTTTCCTTGTAGGGAATATTTTTTAGCGGTAATATCATGGGATCAGTGTCAGATTCACTCCCTTATTACTAGAGATATCCTTGATTTTTTTTTTGTTTAGTTGGGTAACAAGTTGTAAATATATTTGTAAATCTGTATTCAATAACATTGTGTTGCCTTTGATACCAATCTCCGTTGAAAATAATTAATCGTTATTGTAAATTGGCTTCCTTTATATACACACATATATATAAATATATATATATATATATATATACATATACATATATATATATATATATATATAATATATATATACATATATATATATGTATATAGTAAACTCTTAAATATTCTGGAAATCTGCAAAAAAACTCTAATGTGTATCAATTATTTCACCTAACGTTTTCGCCAAAGAGAATTAATTTCGCGCTTCTTCAGGGCTGAAAGAGAATAAATTATAATTAGCTACCATATATTATCTAATAAAAAACATTTACCTTACCGTGAAATTTTAGAAATGTCGAGTTATGATGTTAAAAAACTTTAGCTAGTAACAACATAGTGGTGTTTTTTTGTTACTATGTGCAAAAAAGTTTATTTGTTAACGTTGGAAATGTATGGTAGCTTTGAACTTAAAACGCAAAGGTTTACCCAAAGACAATCGCAAAACCCAATGTAACTACATTTAAAGGAAGTAATTCTTTGAATGGTCGGCAATAACTAAATTTTTAATTGTTGTAAAGTTTGAATGTGAGCTTTGTTTTCATAGAACGCAAGCGCCGAAACAATTACAAGTAGTACTTTTGATATCTATGTCGTTAAGGTTCATTGGTAAAACCGATGAAGTTAGATCCCAGTCTGGGAGATATTAGTTTAGAATTTTCTTAATTGAAATTCTTTTTTTTATTAGTATATTGTTCATAATTATTATAATAATATCTATAATATGAACAATATACTAATTAAAAAAAAGAATTTCAATTAAGAAAATTTTAAACTAATATCTCCCCAGACTGGGATCTAACTTCATCGGTTTTACCAATGAACCTTAACGACATAGATATCAAAAGTACTACTTGTAATTGTTTCGGCGCTTGCGTTCTATGAAAACAGAAGCTCACATTCAAACTTTACAACAATTAAAAATTTAGTTATTGCCGACAATTCAAAGAATTACTTCCTTTAAATGTAGTTACATTGGGTTTTTCGATTGTCCTTGGGTAAACCTTTGCGTTTTAAGTTCAAAGCTACCATACATTTCCAACGTTAACAAATAAACTTTTTTGCACATAGTAACAAAAAAACACCACTATGTTGTTACTAGCTAAAGTTTTTTAACATCACAACTCGACATTTCTAAAATTTCACGGTAAGGTAAATGTTTTTTATTAGATAATATATGGTAGCTAATTATAATTTATTCTCTTTCAGCCCTGAAGAAGCCAAATTAATTCTCTTTGGCGAAAACGTTAGGTGAAATAATTGATACACATTAGAGTTTTTTTGCAGATTTCCCCAATATTTAAGAGTTTACTATTTAACTTATCTGCAAAGATTAAATTTCTTTTCTTTTCTATATGTATATATATATATATATATATATATATATAATATATATATATATATATATATTAAATTGTTTAATATCTATTTTATGTAACATTAATTTTAATTTATTTGTAATTGACTGATTCTTTTTAGGCTTTTTGGATATGTTTTAATATACGACAACGAAAAAGCTTGGTTCCCCGCAAACGAGCTGAAAGACTTCCACGGCATCATGCCCCATGAAGTGACAACGGCAGAAACTTTGCTGTTCTGTATAAGGGCTGACGGGTCTGAAGGACTTTGCTGTCCCACGATGCATTCTTATGATGATGACGATGAAGAGACTTAAAGACAATAAAGGTCTATTTAGACAATAATTAAAGACAATGGGTATTTGGAGTTTACTATTATACAAGTTCACATGTAGGGAATAGTTTTTGTTTATATTAAGTATTTACCATTTTATTAGCATAGTAGTGTATTTATCCAGATATTGTCAGCTAAGTCATAGAGCATTAATATGATCCGTCATTGAAAATGTTTTTTACATCTTAAATAATGTTGTTTAAGTAAATACAGTGCAAAAAAACTTGATGCTACTGGTGGAAGATGCTTAAGAAATTAAGATGGCGATCTTAAATTTAGAGTCGAACTAGCAATTTAAATAGATTAAAGTTCTAAGAACCACCCACTGATGGGTGGGAGTAAAAGAATAAAGGAATTAACAAATATTTAATTTATTCGCTAACTTTGTTACTACATATTAATAAAATAAGGTCTGGTTAAAGGCCTTTTGGAAAGTTGGGTGGTGTAAACTTATGTATCAAAGAATACTAGTTTTTTTTATTTACGAAGGATCAATCTATTTACTTTGCTTCTTCTTTAAATGCCATATCTCCGCGATGAAGGTTGGGAATCATCATGGCTATTCTTACCTTCTAGGCAGCTGCTCTGAATAATTGATTTGAGCTGCAACGAAACCACTCTCTCAGGTTCTTTAACCAGGAAACGCGCTGTCTTCCTATGCTTCTCCTATCCTCTATTTTTCCTTGAATTATAAGTCTCAAGATGTTGAATCTTTCGCCTCTCATTACATGTCCGAGATATTGCAATTCCCTTTCTTTTATTGTATTTTCTATTTCCCTCTCAATGCCTATTCTCCTTTACACTTCTGCATTCGTGACTCTATCTACCCATGGAATCCTTAACAATCTTCTAAATGTCCACATTTCAAACACGTTAAGTCGATTTATTGTATTTACTTTTGAACTACCTATTTTAGGGAGTTCGTGGAAAGAAGAAAACTGCTGTTTGGTAAACGATTCAATTTCTAGTTTTTCTGTTTCTTGCTTGTTTTATATGAATTTCAATAAATAATTTCGTTATTTAATTTATCACTGTTTGCTTCATGTTGTCGTATTTATGGTCACTTTAGCGTATTTTTACGTCGTATACTTTGTCCCTATATGTTGCTCTGTTTATAATGAGCTCATTGCACTTTCTTTTCTTGTGATACCATTATATTTTTGCGAGAAAATATAATATGGAATGCTTTATTATGTCGAAAATAATAACATTCATCGCTAAGGAGTTGAGTTATTGTATCAAAATAATGGAAATATGATATTAGTAACCTAACTCATTTCTCAGATCGATTAATGATACTAAATTAAAAACTAAAATGGAAACATAAATCGTATACGTTTTAATAGCAGACAAAAACGAATAAGAAATTGAGAAATTTTATAATAGCTTAGAAAATATTATAAAAACAACAAAACCTCATTATATAACTAATAACTATGTAATGGGGGATTTCAATGCTAAGGTGGAACAAGGTAAAATTGGGCAATATTTAGGAAGTTATAGTCTTGCAGCTTGCAAATAGGGCGACCGATTAGTTTAGTTTTGCCAGAAAAAGATTTAGTAAACACCAATTATTTTTTAAGGCTACTTCATATATATACAATTTTAGTGAAGTGTACGACGAAATATATTTTATTTATAAATAGGATGTATCTACAATTCTAATGCTTACACATTCTATAAAAAAGTAATCCCGACTATATATTTTTTATATTTATACATTTTTTTTTGTCAGACAATTCATTCATTAAGTTGTACTCTTCATTTAAAAAACTGAAAATCATAAAAAATAAACGTTATTAATAAATTTTCACAGACTCGTGGAAAAGCATATTTTCACTGTCGGACGAAAAAATCGGCGAGTACATTTTGTCGGACAATGTGAAAATATTATTTTTGGCGTTATTTTTGACCGATACAGAGGAAATAAACTTGTTATTACTAAATTTTTTGAAGTTGTTTTTTGGGCATGTTTAGTTTGGTGACTCCCTTATAGAACCAAAATTTTTGTCGGACAAGGTTTTTTTCGGATATTTCACGAAGTCGGCTTTTGTATTCATTTAACAGCAATACATTATTAATAAATTTGATACATCACTTCAAAATGACCACTTTTAGATAACCTGGAGAGAAAATGCGCCCGGTACAGAAAGTATCCCAAAAGATATTTGGGGGTCGAGGTCTTATAAAACTATCCTGAAAATTGTGGCTTGTTATTTATGAGTGATACAGTATGTCGCCTGGCACCTAGACTAACCAGAATGGGTCCTTCTATAACCTGAATGAAAATACATCAACGTAATTGGCGTTTTTCGTCAGAATGTCTGTCAGTTCTTTAGAATGTTAGTGAATTAATCAGCAACTTCATTTATACCAAGAAATAATCTTCTTCTTCTTCACATGCAAATCCACTAATGGATGTTAGCGATCACATTTTCCATTAATTCTCTATTTCTTGCAATATGTATCAGAGATTGTATGTCGTTAATCCCTGTCCATTGCCTTATGTTTCGGAGCCAGCACATTTTCTTGCGTCCCATTCCTTTCTTGCCTTCAATTTTTCCCTCGATTATAAGTTGGAGGAACTGGTATTATTTCATTTCGCATGATGTGACCTAGATACGCCATTTTCCTTTTCTTGATGGTTTTCGAAAAGTTGGCGTTCTTGGTTTATTCTTTTAAGGACATCTATATTTGTGATTTTCGCTGTCCATGGTATTTTTAGGATACGGCGATAAAGCCACATTTCGAAAGCTTCTAATCTGTTTATATCCCTCGTTTTGAGTGTCCAGCTCTCTACGCCATATATCAGCACTGACCATACGTAGCACTTAGTAAACCTTAGTCTCAGTTGAAGATCAAACTCTGAACAAGTCAGTGCTTTCCTGAATTTTACGAAAGCTTGTCGAGCTTGCTCAATGCGACATTTTACTTCCCTGCCCGATGCCCAGTCTTCAAAAAGCCACGATCCCAGGTATTTAATCGTACTCACTCTTTCAATGGACTTAGTATTCAGTGTTATGGTGGAGTTTTCAAGTTCAACTAAGTTTCTGGAGATGATCATAAATTGAAATCAATCATATCAAGAAATAATAGCATGCGTTAAAAAAGTTGTAGTATCCATTATTGTAAGATATTACGTAAATGCTAATTTAGTCGAAAATCTCCTTTATTTAATGAACATATCATTACACAATAAAATGGTAAAATATGTTGTCATATCAGAATAATATCAGAAGATGTGCATATCAAGAATTTATTTTTAATAATTAAAATATTTTATCAATAAAGGAATTGCAGAAAAACTTCAAGTACCCAAACAATATTTTCAAAAAAGTTTAATTATTGAATAATGAAAATTGACAATAATGAGAATAATCTATCATTTAGCACTGTGTTCCAATTCTAGTTAATAGAGATGAGATTACATTAGTGGTAAGTAGAAAGAGTATTATAATAGTAGATATGACAGTGACGATAGAGTTGATATATGAATTTGGCATTTTGTTATTTCTTTCTCTTTTTCTTTCTGACGAAAGGGTCTTTCTAACTCGGGACACATTGGTCAGCTATTCCGTATAATATTGTTACAGCACATCTTTAAAAAATTAAGATATTTAGTTGTAAAAAAACAGAATTTTTCTGTGAGTCTGGCAACTATCATCCTAGAAAGAATGAATTGAATTGAAAAAGTTTGTTTCTTAAGTAAAAAGACTAAATAGTTTACAATAACCTTTAATAGCTCATTAGATCTCGTAATTAAGTTTTATCATATTATTAAGACTGAAGCTTCTAGTTTGCGTATACGACAATAAAAATTAAACTTTTTTGAAAACACCGAATAAGAAAAAGCCTGTAATTAGATTTAAAAAGTATAAAAAATTAGTACTTAAGTTTAGTTTTGAAAAAATAGTGTCTTAGAAATAATATGTTTATTTATTTATTTTTTATATTTTAAGCTAAAAATTCAGAGGTAGCCTTAGAGTTTTTGTAAACGAGATTTCTTGAAAATCATATTATGCAATTGCATATTATAAAGGAATATGATTAACAATGTTTAATAATTCTACTTAAAGCTCATTTTTGTGTTTTTTTATAATTATTTTATAAAACAGTTTGCAAATGGTTTAAAAGTTTAAAAGTTAGTCATAATTGTTGTTTTTATTAATTACTTCCACATCAGATAAATTTTTGTCATATCCTTTCGAGAGTACTTTTACAGCCAATAATTTAAGAATTATGCAAAACTTGCATGGACATTTCCTAGCATTGGTATGATAGGAAACCTACTAGTATAAGTTTTCTAACCTAATAGGTATGTAATAAAATGTTTTGCTTTATTATCTTCCTGGGACGATTTTATTAAAGTTAAGCTCATTTAATTAGAGAAAATTAATAAACCAAAGAGAAACAACTTTAGTGATAGGAGCTTAAAAATTTAAGCGATATTTTGAGAAGTACAAAAAACAGAAAAAGCTGGGGAAAACGAACCGAAAGCCTAGGATCTATATAACAACTGTACAATAATAACTTTTGTCAAAAAGCAGATACTAAAATAAGTAAAAGAGACACAAAGATTTTTTGTACATTGGAAGGAGGGATAATGACAACAAAATTGAGAAAAAATATAAAAGTCAGTCTGTGATAACTAGATATTATCAACTGAAGAAAAGACACAGAAAGATGAGAGACATTTGATGCTATTACATAATATGAATTCCTGTAATAGTATTAATCTTAGCTCTAGGTTAAGTACAATCAAACCTAGAGATAAGATTAATATTATTATAAAAATTAATATTACACCCACCAGTCTTTCGGGTTGAACCGCGTTGATTTCCATTGCGATGAGCTTTCTGATGATAACTGATGATAACTGTGATAACTAGTGATGACTATGGCTTTGCAATTTTTTGATGATTGTATGGTTTGTGGTACGTCAGAGCATGTTATTAAGGGTCCGTCGCAGTTAGTAATATCTGG